TAGGGTACTCCTGAAGGTGTCACCTTGGAAAGGTGTCATTCGGTTCAGAAAATGGAGCAAGTTGAGTCCTATATACATTGGTCCTTTTAGGGTTATTTCCCAGGTGGGAAGGGTAGCATATCATTTGGAGCTGCACAAGGAGCTCAGTCAGATTCACAGTACTTTTCACGTCTCTCAACTACGGAAGTGTTTATTTGTTAATTTCGTAATGGTGCTATTAGAGGATATTCAGGTGGACGAGCGCATGAGCTACATGGAGAGACTAGTTACAATCCTCAATAAGAAGACGAAGACTCTATGAAGCAAAGAGGTGAGTTTAGTGAAGTGGCAGTGGCAGCATCGGAAGGGCTTAGAGTGGACTTGGGAGCCTAAGGATATTATGACTAAACATTATAATGAGTTGTTTATTGCAGTGAACTTCCAGGATAAAGTTTGAATCAAGTGGAGGAGAATTGTAACACCCGTGTTCCAGGTATTTTCATTTATAGATTTAAAATTGTTTGCTTTTTGGTACATTACATGGGGCGTAGATTGCACCTACGCAGGGTGTAGCTAAGGAAATGGGATGTGGGCATCCCATGCAGTACACAGGGCATAATGTCGCTGAGCTCAAACCCTAATTTTTAGGGTTTGGACCCTATTTAAACACTTTGTGACCCTCAATGACTCTTCATAACCAACCTCCACTCTCCTTCTTTCTACCATTTCAAAACCCTTGCCACCTTGTGAGGTTCTTGAGCTCTTAGAGTGATAATTTGTGTGTTTTGGTGCATATTGAAGAAGAAGGAGTTTATTGGAGAGGTGTTGGAGCGCTTAGAACTTGTGGATCCAGACTTGGTTTTTCATCTAGCATCTTCTGGAGGTATAAAACTCTAAACTTTTTGGCTCATTAGTTTAGATCTAGATTTGGGTTATGTTTTGGCATGTTTTGGTCCCATGGCTTTGGTTCTTGTGAGTATGAGCTACTCCATAACCCTTGAGCATCATTTCTAGCTATTTCTAAGGTTGATAAGTCATAAAAATCAGATCTTGAGGGTTATAGTCCACCTATGCATGAACTATTGGTCATTTTGTGAAGTTATGAACCTAGGGTTTAGTTTTGGGCTCTATTAAGCCATGCAAAAGCTTAAAGTTGTCAACGTTATCAATTAAGACCTTCCTAATATTAAGATCTATGAGGTGGATGTATGGTCTTTAAGCATTAAGAGCTTAAAGATGATTTTTTGGCAACAAAGGAGTACGTCGGACGTACCCTCAAGGTACACATAGCATAACGGCTTTTAGCCCGAATCCATTTCTGATGAAGCCGAGTACGCAGGGCGTAATGGGGATGTAAGAATAGTGTATTCCCAATTGTCATTGTGGGCTATTTTTGGGCCTTTGGTCATTATGGGTTTTGGGCCATGTTTAGTTGGGTCAAGTATGGGAAGGATAAAATGGTCTATTACCTTTAGTAAGATTGATTATGATTTGGACAATTGATTATGAGTTATTACCCTGATTATTAATTAGGGTTGATTGGTTATATTCACTGTGAAGATTTGTGGTAGCAGCAACTCGAGTGTATGATTTGTTTATCATCAGATTGAGGTGAGTCTCTTCACTATACCTGTGGGTCGAATGCACCAATGCAGGCCCACTAGATTATGTTGTAGGATGATAGTGTCTTTGTGACGCTTACTGACATGTATATATGTGTTTGCTGTCTGTGTGGCTCTTGCTAATATAATTGTATGCTTGGATGTACGGGTGAAATAAACCTGTACCAGTTGAAAGATACCGAGGTAGTCGGAAGGGACTTCGGGTGAAATAGACCCGTTACAACTTTAGGTTGATATGTATGTATGATATGTGGTATTTTGAGGAACCCACTAAGCTTTGTTCTTACGGTTTATGTTTATATGTCCGGTTCAAAAGGAAAAAGACCGTCATGATCACATCGCATCCACCAATGTTTAACATTTTATGATTTTGTAATTGTACTCTGATAACTATTTTTCCGTGTTGTCATACTTCTGATGGTTTGAAATGAATGATTGATGGTTTTTGTTGACTTAAAAACAAAATTTTTTACTTAGTGATTTTGAGATGTTAAACTATTTTCAAAAGTTAACTCGGACCATCCTCAATTATTTAAAACTTGTACGAATGCGAATTTTGAATAATTTCCAATAAATGACATATTCATTAACAATTAAATCTCATAGACGATTACATTAGTTTCACATATATGTAGCTTTTAGTGAACTAATATGTATATGAAAATGGCTATTAATCATTGCTAGTTACAGCTGGTAATTTGGACCCATAAATGTTGTTTTGTTTGAACTAATATATACATGTTGATTTGGTTGAACGGTTATGTGCATTAATTAAGCTTGTTAATCATTCCGTTCAAATTGGTAACTTGTAGAAAAGAAACAGTGGCAGCAATAGGTTTAATGGAAGGAATGGGAACGTGCTTTATTTATTTATGATTACAAGAATATTGGAATTTTTATATAACTATATTGTAATTTATTGATATGATATATGATAACAAAAGTATGGGTTTTTAATATATGTTTTATGTGTTATTCATTAATAACTAGGTGTGAGATCCATGTATTACATGGGTTTAATTAATATATATATATATATATATATATATATATATATATATATATATATATATATATATATATATATATAATTTTAACAATTTGAAAAGTTTGAATTTATAAGAAAAATGAGAAAAATTTGAATTATAAAAATTAATAAGACTTTAATATATTGATTACATTACATATATAAATGCTTTCTAATAAATATTTTACATATATATTAACTTACACATTAAATGTCAAATTTTAAATTAATAAATAAAAAAATACAATAAAATGACAAGTGGAAAGTAGAAAATTTAAAAAATCTAGAAAATACCATGTGTCCAAATGAATGAGAAGAGGACATGTGGTAAAAAAAACCTTCATTTATTATAGTAGATTATAACTGGATTTTGTTTTTTTTTTAATCTCTAAATTGTATTTTATTTATTCATGATTACAACATCATTGGTATAATCCATTTATTTATGCAATGTGTTTTATTCATTTAAGATTATAATTGTAATGAATTTTTATATATCTAAATTGTTTTTTATTTATTTAGGGTTACATTTGTATTCATATATGATTACAAATATGTTTTATTCATACATGCTTAGAAATATACCAATATAATGAAATTTTATTTAATTTTTTTGATATTTATTTAAAAAAAGGGATCTTTGGAGAAAATTTATTTTAGATGATAACTTTATTAACTTTGAGTAATTACAATTATATTCTTTATCCCAGTAATACGATGTATAATTATGGAAATTGTAAGTTACATCATATTTTAGGAATTAATTAATAAATATGAATTATTGATCTTAAATTCAGTGGCGGAGCCAAGAATTTTGATATGGGGTACAAACATTATTAATATATATTTTATGTTGTTATCATATCTCAGACATTAAAGCTCATGGTATAACATCTTTAGCTGAAGGTACAATAACATAGAACATGTTTAAAAATATTTTTTTTATATACATAAAACAATTTTTTGGGGATACTGTAGTACCCCCAACGTCTCATCTAGCTCCGCCACTAATTAAATTATATTGTAAAAATCTTTTTATGTCCTTATATATTGATTAGTTCAGAATTATTCTTGCGTTCTTACCTTTTTTTGTTCTCAATATAACATTTGTCTATATATATATATATATATATATATATATATATATATATATATATATATATATATATATATATATATATATATATATATATATATATATATATATATATGAGAAAAGTGAATATGTGGCTGTTATGTACCTAAACTTAGGTATAGAACCTTTTAAACGATGCAGTTTTAAACAAAACAAATCCAATTTCATTTTCTCTTAGTTTTGTTTTTATAGAATACCATTGAATTAAGTTCAATTATTGAATAAAAAAGATCAATTATATATATTTTTATTGCAAATAATTATTGAATTTTATAATGAAAATAAAAAACCAATATTTTTTAACGAATACAACTCAAGCGTTTGTCTTTCAATTGAAAAACTATATCCAATGATTTTGTGAAAATGTTGATTGAGTTATGACATGTTCTTCTTTTATCTTTTACTTTATTAGTTTTTATTTAGGATTTAGTAGAGTTAATTATATGGTCACGACTTTTAATGTTTTAAGTTCTTAAACAAAATGAAGAAAAAGAACATAAATTTGATTGACTTAGTAAGCCAAATGATTAAGGAAGAATGATAAAATAGATATAATGATTAGTATAGATATAAATGAATCAAAACTACATTTTTTGGAGGGTTCTATATATAAGCTTAGGTACATGACAGCCACATATTCCCTAAGCCCGCCCTATATATATATATATATATATATATATATATATATATATATATATATATATATATATATATATATATATATATTTGGATTTTTCTAATATGTGCCCTAAGGACACATATAAGAAACATTAATTACGAAAAATATTATCATAATTAAATATGAAATCATTTATTATGGAAATTATTAATGTATCTCACATTTAATTATGGTTTTAATCTTTTTAATGTATTTTATATTTAATTATGGTAATATTTGTTACAATTAATGTTTCTTATATGTGCACTTAGTTACATGTTAGAAAATCCCATATATATATATATATATATATATATATATATATATATATATATATATATATATATATATATATCTTAACTATATTATTAAGGATATTGCCCACCTCTTGAAAATTAAGAGGTACAACATATCTTACCCAATGTACAATGACATTAAGCAATATACGTATTATACTACACGCCTACACAAGGATCATATACTACACCGTACAATAATGACCTTACCTAATCTCCTAACCACAGCCATCTAACCTATTCACATCGACATGCCCCTTTCCAACTTCATACGGAGGCGGTGATGAACAGATCTGTAGATGGTCATGAAGACGGATTAATGATACTCAGCATCTTCGATCCTCAATCCGATCGTCAGCCTTCAAGTAGTCGAGGTCTTAACATGGCGGATCTCCAGCGTTTCCAATATAAACCCTTTCCCCGCCTTCGATTTTCACCTTAACAGACATCTTAGCATCTTCGATCCTCAAAAATCCTAAAGCTCTGCCATTTAACCTATTCACATCGACACCACCAAAGATGCCCCTTTCCCCGCCTTCAATTTTCACCCTAACACGCTCTCAGGTCTTAGCTATTAACTGTAATCCCTAGCCCTATAGTGTCCCCTCTATCGCCACCAGACATCGCACACCATAAAAAAGAAAAAGCCCTAACTCTTCTAGCTGCGACTGAGGACTTCTCTTCAACCTGCATCGAAACCTATAAACCCTCCTTCCATTGACACGCCTTTTACGTTTTCCCCCCGTCTGCTGCTGACTACTCCTAAATTAAGGAACTCCGGTGGCCGACACATTTCCTCCGCGCTCTTCATGGTACTACTTCACCTTCATCTTCATCATCATATGTTGTTTTTTTTCTGTCTCTCTACTTTTATCTTTTTCTTAATGTAAAATTCAGTTCAGTCGTGTATTTGATTCGATATATAACCTGAAACAGCCTTTGATGTTGGCAATGGAATTGGATTCGGAAGCGTTTGTGGAGGTGGATCCGAGCGGCAGGTACGGACGCTACAGGTTTCGATGCAGGCCTTGAAGAAGTGGTCATGGAAAATATTGAAAGGCTTAGATTATCTACACAAGCATGAACCCTGTATCATTTACACAGATCTCAATTGCAGCAATGTCTTCATCAATAGCAATATCGGCAAGGTACAAATATTGATCCAATAAAGGATTGGTTTTAAACATTTTTAATAATAAATATATAATTAATTAATGAATAGATATATACGTATTAGGTAAAAATTGGCAATTTGGGTTTGGCTGCAATAGTTGGTAAGAGCCATTGTGCACATTCAATACTGGGGACACCTGAATTCATGGCTTCTAAGCTGTACGAGGAGGATTACATGGAGCTGGTCGATTTGGGTTTGAGATGGTGACTCTTGAACTGCCTTACAGTGAATGTGATAATATTGCCAGAATTTACAAGAAGGTAACATCGAGTCTATGCCCTTCATGGAGGCGTTGAGGCAACTATTTTTCTTTACAGGTGAGTTTACCATTACCATTCAATGCATCAAAATTTAATGCATAATTGACCAGAATCTCAAATTTTCTTAGAGGTAAACCTTATAAACCAAACGTTGTAATATAACTAGAAGGAATTATTTTTATTTGTAAATGTTGCAAATGTTATTATGACCCTAAAATACAAATGAAATCTTTTGGGTTATTAGTCATATAGACATGAAATGAGATATTAATTCTTTCTTATTTATTTAAATTTGAAATCAGGCGCCAGGTATTCATTCCCACAAATAAAACTACACCCAAAAGCAATTGAAGGTACAAGAAGTGCTGGAAAAGTTCTTGATGTTTTTTATTGCCTCAAGCTCTTGGAAGCCACTAGCATTTCTACTGTCCCTGGTTCAGGTTTTGGCCAAAAAGAAGGGTAGCTTACTTTTCTCCTTTGCCATTTATACCCTTCTTGTTTATTTATACTCTGGTTCAGGCACTGGCATTTATATGTGTATTGTTTCTATTTATGCCTCCTTAGTTTAATTTATTGTTGATATGGTTTTTTTTTTTGTTTTCTTGGACTACGATTTTGCATCTTCATGGACTGTATGGTTTATCATTTGGGTATTGTCTCATAATCTCATTATGTCTTTTCCCCTTTACTTTATCATTTCCTTTTTTCAAAAAAGGTCTAATTACCTTTTGATTCCTCTCTGGATCCCCCATTTGTAACTTTATTTCCTTTTTGATTAATATATTTGTTTCTAATTTCAAACTAGGTTGATGAAGATGACTATTATCATTGGAGACTCAAGAAAAGGAATATCTTGAAATTTTCGCATGATTCTATTGCCACAAAATCACAATTAGCTCAATGAATTAGTGAGTGAAAATTTTCTTATTGCTTTGTTGTAATTTAATGTTGGGTTAAATGCATATTTATGTAACAACATTAACCAAATGAGGATAAATTCCTGCATTAAGTGGAAACAAAAGTTTCTATCTTTTTAATATAACCGAGAGTCTGAGACTAGATGATCAGACAATGCCTAAAGGGTAATCTTGTCATATCAAAATTAAAGCTTTTTATTTTCTTTTCCATGTATTGAATTTAGCTGATGTCATGGTTGGATCACGAACTCTAATTGGAGGAATTTTTAGACGCTCAGGCCTCAACCGCTTTGAAAGTAATAAATATTTGGATTACACTCTCACTCCTATACAGGTAATTCATAAAGTGTTGTTTGGATAAAATTATATTTGAGGACAAATTTGGAAAAAAGTTAGGAGATAACAAATTTTTATGCAACTTGTTTCAGAAGGAGCGTCTTCAAAGGCATCAAGAAAGATTGAACATACCATTTGATGAAGAAAGCCTTGAACATCAAGTATATTTCAACACCGCTTTAGATTTTTGTTTATAATAATGAATAATCATTACTTTGGAAAATGTTAACATAAATAATAATTTATGTTATCAACAGAAAGCTCTTATAGATTTATGGTATTTAGCATATCCAGATGTTAAACTTCAAGGTTTGACGTCAGAGAAATGGAAGGATATGGGGTGGCAAGGAGTCAATCCATCAACCGACTTTAGGTTTAATTGCGCTTTTTTTTTTAATTATTTGAATTTCTTGATAAATACAAATATCTATTTTGTTCATGATAACATATTAGTTACGAATGTATAAAAAAAATTTCAAATTGTTTGTTGGTATGATTACAAATAGACAGGTAAAAAGGTCATTTACTCAAACATTACATTCGGTCCAAAAAAGAAACAGACTATTCTATATTCTATCACATCTCCTGTTTTTATACAAAATGTTTTTCTGGTGGAGTTTTTTTTTTCTATAGGGGTTGCGGTTTTATCTATTCATTTGGCTACCTGTATGAGTGTGAGTGTATGACAAAAATATAATTTTTTTAGTGTATACCAATTATAATATCATACTTCGGCTAATTGTTTAGTTTTGTAGCCTATTAAAGTATCTTTTTTTACGTATCTATGAAGCTAGGTGTTTATAGAAGCTGGTTGAAGTGTCTTTGTGTGTGTGTTTAAAGAGAAGATGGGTTAAATGCAAGAAACACCAACCTGCTAAAGTATGTTGCTATTTCTAGCATATAACCCGTTTTATCTCTTTGGTGGAGTAACATTTACTTAGCATTTGATTCTTGGTGACCTATTAGATTAGAAAGATTTTTTAGATTGATTTGTTTTTCAAGAAGGATGACCTTGTCAAAAACTGCAGATAATAAATTGTTATGATAATTTCCTATGTTGGATCCACTGTTTTGCCCACATTTTCTGTTTATTTGTTTCCCTAATTTATGTTGTAGAGATTCTGGAGTATTACCAGCAACTCGATTTTGTGTGTATGTTGTGGTTGACATGGTTTTTGAATTTTTAATGTATGATGTGTACACCTGAAAAACCCATTGACTGGTCATTTTCTACTGTTTATTTGCAAGGTGTCATGTTGTCTCCTTTTTTGTTTGTTTTATATTCATTTGATTGTATTTGAAATCCACAACATAAGTCAACATATAAAGTCGTAATAATACATATTAGACACTGTATATGGATCAATATGGTTAAACTATGGTAACATATATATTAAAAATTACTTATTTGCTTTATTACTTACATTGTTCATTATATGTAGGTTACACTGTACCTAATCATACAGACCAATAATTGTTATAAATTCAACTTGAAGTGCATCCTTATGTTGAATATATTGAATATAGTATAATAATTAATTTTAAAATAATTGTATGAATGAAGATTTCTAAAAGATTAGTAAATATATGGCATATTTTTATTAGCTTTCAATTATTTAATTTATTTTGTCCTAACTAAATCTCTTAATTTTAGGGTTAATCGAATATTTATTGTAAAAGTTAAATTTAAATAAAAACTTATTTATTTATTTATTTTTTTTGAAAATTTTAAACACAATTGGTTTTTGGTTCAAATTCATATAACATACGGTGATTGTTTAAGAGTCCATTTTGTAACGAATAATGTAATTATTTTATTCCACGTTTTACATAAAATACCATTTTAGAAATATTTTTTTATGAATAGTATTTTTAATTACTTTTATTATTTGTTTTAATTAATCATCACTACAAAAGCAATTCTCACTCCATAATATAAAAGAAAAAAAAAATCACGACATGTTTTTTCATGGTAATAAAATTAAAATTAACTTTTATTAATTTTGTATTACATACTAAAATATATCATATTTTTCAGAAAATAGTTGTCGTGTAAGGAATGAGAGAGTTGTGTGAGCCGATTACATGGTGGAGTTTTTCATTTGTTTTTTATTACTTCGCAGTAGAATGAATATACTACAACACAATCTAGAATGAATCATATTAACAAGGAATAAAGTGACAATTATGTTGAAGAATTGGAATAAATGATCATGTAGGCTACTTTGAGATTCAAACATGGATTATGGAATGACACCTCATTAATATGTAAAAAAAATTAGAACAATGTCATTGATGTCGAAATAGTTGATGGTCAACATGCTGAAAATTGATTGTTTTTTACAAGGATTCTTCTATGTTCATCTAAAGATGACATATTCTCATTCAAGTTGAAGAGAAAATTATTTCCAATTCAATTATGTTTCGAAATGACAATCAACAAAGCTCGAAAACAAACAATCTTGCATGTAGATACTTATCTTTTGAAATGGATTTTGTTGCATGACCAACTTTATATGGCATTTCCCAGAAGGATATCATGTGTCAATAAAAAAGTATTAGTGAACTCTGACGAACAATTAAATGGCAGTGATGTCTATACATCAAATGTGGTTTATAAAGAAGTGTTGTGCGACTAATAATGGACAATTAATCATGTGTTAATGTATATTTGTAAATTTTCTCAACTTTTCATTTTAAATTCTTATTGATTTCGTTTTGCTAACATGACTTTTATATATAATTGTTTAAATGTGGTAAACTATTTGCGCAAAAGAACTAATCGTTTTTACCGACTAATTTCTGAAAAAATTTGCACCCATCGCTTGGCGCGGGTAAATGACTAGTGTATATATATATATATATATATATATATATATATATATATATATATATATATATATATATATATATATATATATATATATACCTCTATCTAATAAAAAAATAGTTTTATTCTTTTCTCGACATGTATCATCTTATTAAGCCTCCTAATTAATGCATATTTTATTCTCATTTTGTCATGTGTTATCATATTATATCTCCTAATTAATACATGATATTTGTAAACCTATTGATTATCCATTTTAAATTTTAAATCTTAAATTTCTCACTCTAATTATATAAATTTTATAACATTATAATAAAAATTAAAATAAACTTAATACAAATTATAAATTGATATAATTTTACATATTTATTTAAATCAACGATTAAAACTAATATAACTAAAAAATCTCTTAATTAATAATTTATTTAAAATAATTGATTAATAATTTTTAGTTTTTATTTTAAAATATTTTAATTAATTATATAACCGTGGTTCTTATCAAAAAGTCGTTTACATCAAAATTTAGACCGAGTCATCTTTTTCCTTTCTAAATCCCTAAAATTGTTTTCCTTTTCGTTCACTTCCCGTCTTTGTGGATTGTAGTTGTTATCTTTTTAATTCAAAGCTTCTCCATAACTGCAATCATGTTTCTTCTTGAAAAAAAATCCATCTCCTCTGAATTTTATTGTATCGATATCCTTTTCCTTTATTCATTCCCTCCAAACCTACCGATCCTATCCAATCTATTGCTTCGGTTTTAGTTCTTCTACATAGATTATTTAATCACTAATTATTGTTGATCGATAGAGCAAGAAAAATCGACCCTTTCCATACACTCATGAACTATTGACGCCTTTCTCCATGTCTTGTAACTTCCATGGCCAGAAAAATGATATGTGTCTATGATGAAAATGGTACAACATTTTTTTCTTTCAAATGGAGTTGACGCAGATTCATGTAATTTGGATTTCTCCATTGACCAGCTAAATTGAAATATAGACGAACCAGGACAATCGTATGTTCCCCTCGGTTCAACGATATGAGCTCACTTAGTGACAAATGTTAGGAATGAAATAGGATTGTAGACAACAAGATGCTTCAATTTGTTTTGGCTTCTAGTCTAGTTTTCCAAATTATAACTAGATTCTAAATGTGATGTTTATTATCAATTTTTTGTGTAAGTTGATTAAATCATAAAAGTAAGCGACATTGGATTGATTACCTGAAAGTTGAATCCTTAGGAAATACTGTAAGTTTATAGAAGCTTTTTTTTTTTTTTTTTTTTTTTTTTTTTTTTTTTGCATATGATGATTAGATTAACTAAGAAATTTTCATTGTTTCTACTTGGATACTTCATACAAAGTTATGTGCTATGGAATCCATAAAAGGATAACAATAAAAATATTTACAAGGGCTAGCTTAGATTATTATTTATAAAAAAACATGCGGCACTCAAAGTGCACGTGATCTGGTGTCTTATTTAGGTAAAGAAAAGATTCCTGAAACCATGGAAGTTGGTGCAAATCAATCTCCATAGCGGTTAACGAAGAGACAACACCCGTAAAGCATAACTACTACCATGATACACACCTAATGAAAATTTGATAAAATATAATTAAGTGATCATTTTAACAATAATTAGATAGTATTTTTTTTTTCATATATTGTAACTCTTAACCATAATTTTATTTTCTATGTGGTTTTTGTTGTAGTTTTTTGTTGTGTTATAGATAAATATTAATGAAGTAGTAACAGAGCATGCCGATTTTTTAAGCGATTTAATTCAATTATTGTTGCAATTTGCATGCCCATTGACGTTAATTTCTTGTTAATGAATTATACTTTTTTTTTCTTATTATAGCATCCTGCTTTGTTTTTTTTCTATAAAACATTGTCTTTTCAAGTTTTTTTGTTTCATAGCATCTGATTAAAGATGAGTTTTTCAAGTGCATGTGTAGCACCTGGTTTCCGGTATGTGAATTTTATTTGAGTATTGCCCTATTTTAGCCTTGGACTCGGCGAGTCACAAGGTCCGACTCGCCGAGTAGGGACGAGACCCAGGACACGTTTAAGTTGGCGACTCGGCGAGTCCATATCCTGGACTCGACGAGTCACCGCTGTTGGATGAAACCCTAAGTTTCAGGGGTTTGCACCCTATTTAAACCTCATATCTGCCTCTTGCCAGCCCCCATTCACCCCCCAGAGCTCCCAACCCTCGTCCTAACTCGTCCTAAGCTTGTTTCTTGTGAATTTGAGGCTCTTGTGTGGATTCTTGAAGGTTTTGAGGCAAGAAGGGGAAAGAGATCAAGAGGAAGGAGAGCCATCCAAGCATCATTGTGTTTTTCAGCGGTTTCATTGAGGTATATCTCGTTTTCCCCCTGTTTCTATGCTTAAGATTTCATTTAAGACACTCTTGAGCCATTTCCCAAGCTTGTTTGTGCTTAATGTTTCGTAATAAGTGGGTTGGCCTTTAGATCTAGGCAAGATTGAGCTCCAAGAGCTCAGATCTGTTAGCTTTATGGACCCAAGTGGCTTGTTCATCCTAGATCTACCCTTTTTGAGGCATTTTGGACCCTAAAATCCATTTTAGTGAAGATCCACACGTAAAGTTGGAAACTTTACGTATGATTCGTGTCTTAGAAGCCCAGATCTATGAATGGCATGGACTGAAATCAAACAAATCGGTGTATCTAGTGGATGCATGGCGACGACTCGGCGAGTCGTTCATGTGACTCGGCGAGTCACCGAATTGGTCCCTTTTAGACGTATCGAGTTGAGCCGTGAGTCACAGGGGGTGACTCGGTGAGTTGAAAGCTGGACTCACTCATGATAGGACTCGGCGAGTCAATGCCCTGACTCGGCGAGTCCAAGGCAATCTTCATAGATCAAGAACAGACTCGGCGAGTTGTTCATACAACTCGGCGAGTCTTAGCATATGTGTTCTTCGGATGAAGATGAACTCGACGAGTTGTTCATACAACTCGGCGAGTAGGATGAAGGAGTTGGATGACAGTTTAGAAGATGAACTCGTCGAGTCATAGCCCAACTCGACGAGTAGAATCAGGGACCCAGGACAATAGTTTGCTAGGGACTCGGCGAGTGGAGATCCACTCGGCGAGTCGGGTCAACTAAAAGTTGACTTCGATTTGACTTAGGGCTAGACCAGGGGTAAATTGGTCTTTTTACCCAAAGGACAGTTAGCAGTGTATGATTAAGTATATTGTGGGAATTACAGCCGGGGAGTTTCCGAAGCAGCAGCAGCAATAGTAGGTGATCAATTCCCACACAGACCATCAGCTATTTCGAGGTGAGTTTCCTTTCAGTAGTAACGGGTCTAAGGCACCAAGGCCGGCCCGTATAGATGAGACGATAGTATT